TTCTAGTAGCCCAACACACTCTTTAGAAATTTTAAAAGTACTCACAACTATATACTTATAAACATATTCTTGCAGTTTTGAAATTTTCTTAGAAATTTTGGCCAAAAAGTGAAAAAATTGGCATACCTCTTCCAAAAGATTAGCAGTATTTACTCCTTTTAAATTAGGATATGTCTACTAAAATGGAACCTTTCGCGAGCTTATTTGGATTCTGCTTTGCTAAATAAACAATAACAGCAGTACTGTTTACAGTATAGAAAATCAGAGAGATCACATGTAAAAATTTCTTAATATTAGACAGTGTTTTTTTTCTTTCCACTTCTTTTTAATATATAGTGTTAGATTAGATTTTTTTTCTATACAATATTATATAATTTTTACAGTTTAATACAGGCAATAATAATGTCATCATGACCATCTTTTTTTGGCTTTTTTCTTCTTGTTTCTTTTTTTATTTTGTTTGTTTTTTTTTTTTAGTTTAGTTTAGTTTAGACCTTTTCTCTCTTTTTAGTTTTTTTTTTATTTCATATTTGTTTTTTCTTTGTTTTTTGTTGGTAGTTTTTCTACCTAGAAGGCTAAAAGAAGAGTGAACCAGGTTAGTAATTTGGGGATGGGTTGGTTGAAGTAAAGTAAGCTGAACCTAACCAGGGAGATTGAACTTATCTTTGGCAAGTCATACATAAATTCAATTGAAAACTAGATGAGCCACATTCCAGATTTTTTGACATAAGGCATAATGTAATTCAGACAAATCCTTCAGGAAATGTAGTACCTCATCAATAAAGCAGATATATAATATAGCTATCAAAATTTAAAAAATATATATATATATACTAGAAAAATAAAAACTATTTAAGTTCAAAGAACTAATTTTTTTATACAGTTAGACTTCTCTAAGTGTATATTATTAGGACTAGCTCTAAGATATATATTTAAAGAAAGTTGTATTTAGAGAATACTAATAGAATTATAGTATATATATAGCTGTCAATAAAAATCAAGCAAATCTTCATTTAAAAAAAAATTTAATATTTTAACTTTTATTGCTCATATCTTGATGAATTTTATAAATATTAAAGATATCTTGATAGTTTAATATTTAAAAGAAAGCTTATAATCTAAGCTTTATTTTGAATATTAAACTATCAAGATAGCTTTAAAATTCATCAAGATATGAGTTATGAAAGTTAAGGTATTAAATTTTTTTCAAATATAGATTTGCTTGATTTCTATTGATGGCTTTCCATATACTATATAAGTTATATATTAAAATTATTTTATATAGGATTATATAATCTTGATTTGATTAGTTAATAATCACGTGATATATATTTATAAAAAGATTTATATAGGTGGGCCAGGAAAATAGTATATGTTTGCAGAATAAAAAATATATATTTATTTATTAAGCCTGTTAATGGGCCAGATAATTAATATGCATTTAGAGAGGTTTGACTATATTACACTGTATCTAGCTAATAACCTATTGTTTTGATTGTTTTTCTCATATTACATCTAATCTAGCCAATCAAAATTCAGAATTTGTTAACACACAAATATTGGGTATACTATTGCTCTACCTGTAGTATCCTTTGTGCAATAAATATACAAGTATATGCCAAAAAAAATTTGCTATTTTCAACTATTTCAAAAACAATGCCAAATATTTTAAAATTTAAAAAAGTAAATTATAAGCAAATTTATAGACAAATTTGTCTAAAATTGTCTATAGTTTAAGAAATAAAAATACTGTAGTTTTTACTATATTTTTATAATATTTTTATTATAAAACTTGGTGCTAGAAAAAGAAATAAAATTGACAAAAATTTATTACAAAAAAATTGATTATCTTGTAAATAATTTTAATTGCTTTATAATTAATTTCTTGAGATAAATTTTTTATATCAATTTTATTTCTTTATATAGCACCAAGCCCATCTATATACAATTAAAGTTAAGATGCCTGCCCGTCTGTACACTTGAAGCAATCTGATTGGTCGGTTGGTTGTACTAAATCTGGGTCACATGTTGCAAATCACGGTATTTGTAAGTAGGAATGCGAGCTATACAATACAGATTTAATCAACTTAAATAGCAATCGATAACTTAAGTTGTGCTATAGTATTTATAGGTTCAATGTTATCAAATGACTTCTCGGACCCGCAGGTTCGTAAAATCATGTAATAACTTAGAATGGATTAAGATTAGGATACCCAACTCATTAGTGTAACCAAGCCCACTCTTATACTTACTGTACTTAGCACGGACGTAAGGACGTGCCCTGAGACTAGCTAGTATCTTTATTATATATGAGTGTCGCCAAGAGAAAACCTGTCATCGGATTTTCAATAATATTTTGTATACAGTTAGAAAATCTATCAGATTTTCCATAGACGGCTAACTGTACACAAAATATAATTGACAGGTTTTCTCTTGGCGTAGAGGTGTGATCTGTAAACTATTAGTTAATATAAACAAACTTAGTTTATTGTAAACCTGTTTATTTATATGCACTGTAATTCACAATTTACCTCATATGGAATATATATATACAGTATATATATATTTTATTTATTTATTTTTTTTTTAATATTTAAGGTGAGAATATATATATTTTATATTATGTTATATTTTGATAATTTAAATATATTTTTGTAAAAACTTAATAGAATTATAAAAAATATTTTTAAAATATTTTTAATATATATATGTTTAATATATTTTCATAATTAAGGTATTTTTTTTAAAAAAATAATATTTTAAAGATATATATAGTATGATTATATGATAAATATATTTAGCAAAAAATACTGGTTTCTTAAAGGAATAAAGAACGTATATTTATCTATAAGTCCCATTGTGGGGCTAGCCCTCCATCATGCATTTAGAGAGGTGTTGCATTTAGGAGGGTTGCATTTAGGGTATCAGATAACTTGGCTAAAGATGTCACTGTAATTTCCGCTAATTTGCATTTGGGTTCTTTCACAGAAAAACCATGCTTAGAGTATATAAAATATATATACTCTAAGCATGGTTTTGCTGTAAAAGAACTCATTTGAAAAAGTGGGTATTCTAATTTACAATAGAACACAGTAACATAAAACAAGGTAGTTAATCCGAAATAAACTTCAGCATTGTTCTAATTAGATTCATTGAACATTTTCAATTTTATTTCCAAGTTAGTGCACGAGCGCAGATTAAAAATAGACATTTGATAATATCATATAAAAAAAAGAAAAGGCATTATGTGAATACGTACAATAAACAATATATTAAAAATGGAATTACTAATTTTTTCAAAAAAAAAAAAAGAGAAAAAATTCATACACAATATACTGTATGTTTAATTTAACATTCTATTTGAATTTATAATCAAACCAAAACATGAACGAACTACAATGTATACGTGCATGTAATAAAAACGGATTTATGATAATACAAAATTTGCACTATAAAAAGTTTTTTCTTTTTCTATTTTTCTAACATCAATATACGAAAATTTTTTGGAGAATGATCTAAAATATTCTCTTAAAAGTACAAATCATGGTGAAAGAATGTAATATTGAATATTCGAAATTGTATCATTATACATAATACTACATTATTTTAATGCGAAGAATGATGTAAACAGGATGGAAATCATAGGGAGTATTGTGATCACTAAAGAATTACCAGAGCTAGTAGTAGAGGTTTTCGGGCCATTAGCGGATGTAGCATTTGATGAATCGCCTGCCGGTTTGCCTGATGGGGGTGATGAGGCTGATGAAGATGGTGAAGCAGATGAAGGTGATATGGTTTTAGCAGGTGCTGTGGTGGAATTACTACTTGTCGTGTTTACTACGTTTACTACGTTACTAGGTTTACCCCCAATTTCTAGATAGGGTTTTGAATCTCCTACACATTCAGCAACCGTGGTCATGTTTAAACCTTTAACTTTGACTGCTAATTTTAAGACTTCTATTGCCGCCTTTACAGTTTGATTATAAAGATCATGTTCAAGAACAATAAATCCTGTGGACATCGTTGGGAATTTTTGAGTCCAATTATTAAAAGTACTGATTACATAGCTTATTGGCTCAGGTGGGGTGGAGACAAGAGTCCAATCATTGCTATCAAAGTCTGGAAGCCAGAGAACAGCTAATTTGTTCAAATTAAAACATATATATATAAATATAAATATATTAATGTGAATAAATGAAAATATTCGAAGAAAAAAACATACTTATTAAACCCATGGCACGTGTAATTGCACGAACGCGATTGTCGGTATCGCCATATGGAGGGCGATAGTATATAGGTGTGACGCCGATAATATCTTTGATGGCCTAAATGAAAATAAGATTAAACTTTTAATCAAAAGTTACAGGATATATAAGAAAAAACTCGTTTTTGTATATAAATTCAAATACCTTCATTGTCCATCCTATTTCTGCGATGATTTGTGCATTGGAAAGAGAAGTAAGTGCAGGATGGGACCAAGTATGCACAGCAATATGATGACCTACAATTAAAAAATATAATTTAGTATATTAATTATTTTAAATTACGTGTTATAAATAAATTATTACCTCTTTTGTAAGCATCTAAAAGAATTTCAGGATTACAAATTGCGCGACTACCAATGACGAAGAACGTGGCATGCAAATCTAATTCTTCAAGAGTGTTTAATAAAGCTGGCGTCGCCGGCGATGGCCCATCATCATAAGTTACTCCCCAATTTCCTGTTAGTGGACATGCTTGAATATCATCGGGGGCAACGTATTTTTGACAAGTCCAAGATCCTTGATTTGGATCGATTGTGGTATTACCACCACAGGTAGGTTGTTCATGGTTAACTACACCGCCGTTAGAGCATGGTAAGTTTGGAATATTACTGAAATCATATTGTTTCATCCATTGCTGGACAATAGGATCATTTTCATCGGGTGTTATATCTAATTGAGGATAAACTTGGGGTTTGCCATTAATTGTCACCGTGACGCTCGGTTGTGGTGCAGCAGCAGCCGGGGAAGCAGCAGAGGGAGTAGTAGCACTGGGATTCGCATTACCATCAGCATTCACTGTACAAGTAACCAAAAGAACAATTGCAAAAACTTTGAGAAATTTCATTTTTGTAAAAATGTATTTAATTTATTGAAGAAATTAATGGTAAGCTTGGTTATTCTTTATTATTATTACAAAAGTTGGATACAAACGAAAATAGTAAGGAAAAAATAGGGAAAGGGATATGAGAAATGAAAGGAAGGTTGGCCTAGGGAGGCCTAAGAGAGGAAAGGATGAAAGGGAGACGGAAGTAGTGGAAACTTGCGATTCCAACTAAAAGGAACTCAGGAACAGAAAAAAAAGCGTTCCAGCGGGTTAATTCTAATAAATTACAAAAAAGAAAAAGAAAGAGTAGGTTATAAAGTTTTTTTATCCCCTATTTTAATAGAAAAAAATCTTGACCAATCTTCTAGAATTCCTTGAACCGAATGTCGCACTGCGGCATTCAGAGACAACGCATACATGCATAAACTAAATTTAATTAATTTTCACCAATTAAGAAAATAATTGTAAATTGGACGACGATACGATATTGAACCTGTTATTATTTATAAATTAATTAATAACTCTGATGAGGGTACTGCAGGTATCTACGTAAAGAGACCAACCAAATATTGTTGCTGGTGGAACAAAATAATATCGGGATCCGATGATCACTCCAATTTTAAGTTATCTTTTTCGGATATTAAAAATCTGTCCGATCCAGGTCCGGACCCTAAAAAGTCCGATTTTCAAGTTTCCGAAAGTTATTTTCCTGAAAGGGACAAAATTATCAGCATTAACAATAATTCCGGTCGATTAATAGTAACCGTTCTAACCCTGGCATTTTAATATATAATTTTGGGAATAGCAATAATTTCAAACGGAATAGATTACAGAAGATCAGTATGGATAATCAGAATTGTATAATATGAGGGTGCAAATACCTTATTTTACGGTTATTATCATAAATGGGACGAGAATCGATAAGTTATCGAATTTGAATCGGTAAGTTATCGGCTTCGCCCGAACTCGGAAACTTATCGATTCAGTCATGCTGCCCCAGGACTTATGAGAACAGCTGTAAAATAGGGATATTTTACTTCCCATATCGTATGATTTGCGTAATGTAATGTAACGAAAACATTACTAAATTCATCAATCGAATTATCTCTAATAACTTAATTCTACTGTAATTAATGAATTTAAAGCGAAAACTCCAAAACAATTTATCAAGAATGACTAGTTTCGAACCGGTCTTGAACTATCATTAAAAAAGTCCAGTCCCAGACTAAGTCTAGACTAACTCCAAACCAAGTCCTTGTGGACTACTTAACATCCCTATTATTTTTTAGATGCCAAGCGATCATTCCCGGACTGAGTTTGCACTGAATTAGTATTTAGGGTTTGAGCCATGAAAATTCAGTCTAGACTAAACTCGGCTGATTTTAACATTCTAGATTTAGTATTTTTTTTTTTATCTGATTCATACATATAGTCATATACAATGCATATTTTTTTACAGGTAATAGTAGCCAACCAACTCTATAGCAAAATTATCAGCTGGGAATTTTTTACTTATTGAATAGGATATGACTTCATTAGTAAAATTTCCGGCCCAGCCGACCAGCATTCCGACCCAGGATTTGAGATCTTCTGTATACCCAATGTAGTAAATATTTATGTACAATCGCGTGCCAATGTGTAAAGAATTTTGTCCTCATGTACTGTACATACCTGGTACTAACAGGTAAAGAACCGATCTTTTGTTTATAACAACATAATAAAAAAAATATTTATGATAAAATTAAAACACAAGATTAATAAATTAAAGATTTAGAAATTATTCAAATATGTATTTCAAATTTTATTTAATTTATTTAATTATATTACAAAAAAAACACTCAATTATGCTTATCGTTTATTATTGTCATGAATTTTAAATAAATAATTTTATTGTCCTATGGACTTGGGTAACACAAGTTTATGCACCGAGTTTTCATGTGGTTGACACAAAATTGATAGGTATACCTGATCATGTGATTATAGGAAAGGCTGGTTTTAACGTTAAAGAGAGAGTAATTTCTTTATTGGTTCCTTCTACGACTAAAATCGGGGGCTTTTCCTACTTCATGCAATCGATCAAGACTCCCCTTTTCTTATGATCGGTAGCAGGTGCGTGTAACCTTCTGACTGGCGAAAACTTGAAGATATAATAAATTTGAACAAAGGCAAAGAAATGTTATAGAAGTGATTAGTAACACGAAGTCCTATTATGTCATCATAAGAAATGATAGTTCATAGTCCAGCATTTACAAGTAGAAGTGACATTCTACCATAGAGAGAATTCATCTTTTTTTATGGTTTTTTTTTTGCCAAGACCAGAGCAGATTATAAATGTACAACATAGTAATCTTTAGATTAGATGTGATTGAAATTTTTGTTTTATTAGTGAAATTTATTTTAAAATACTGTAAAATATGAATTAGTTATATTTTTTATTTTATTTTATTTTTTTCGATTAAAAACATTAGGGTTTAGTCTAACAACTATAATATCTAGTATGATAATAAAAAAAAGTTGTAGTTAGAAAATGAAATTATTGGACTAGCATATACATCTAAACTGAATAATAACGTATATACAGTATATCGTGCATCATTATAATTCCGCTAACACCTAACATAGGCTACCATTCTAGCCTTAATAAAACTGTATTTTAAATTCTGATCTGACATAATAAGCACTAAATTAAATTCTAAATTAAATATTTTTGCCATTTATACAATGCTAAAATTTTAAATGCATCGAAAAACTGCCACATTAAAATTTTGTTTGTGTCTTTTAAATCAGCCGTAAGATTATTTCCATTTTTTAAAAAGGTTTATATATTAGATATATATTAGCCTTTAACAGTTCCCCAATGTTTCATTACATCACTGACATTCGGGTTGATCCGGATTGATCCGACCTGTGTATTTACGAAGGCATTTTAAATTCAACTAGTAGTTATGCATGTCCAGATGTCCATACTTAATTTAATTTCTATATATGGAACGGACTAAGAAAATTACTGTTTGGTACATTCTAACTCAATTTTAAGATTTCGATTCTACGTAATCAAAACTTTCACATTGTACGATTTGTCCCACATCAAATTAAATAAATCAACGAAATGTTTTAATTTGAATAAACCAATTCTTTGAGATGCTCTAAAAATAGAATAACAACCAATCAGAAGACCTTCAATTTTAATTTAGCGAATAGGATCAAATCTGGAATTGAAATTTCATGTAACATTAACTTTAATCACATTTTTCTTTCAAAACCTCTCTCAAAAGGTGGGTTTCTTTGTCCATCCATTCCCATATACATGTATGTATATAAGATTTCTAGAATAAAAAATTTTGACCGAATATTCGAATGTTCATCGAATTTTTTAAATTATCAAAAAATATATTACATATAGGAAAAGATTTAATGCGATATTAATAAGTTTATCGTGATTTACGTTAATCCTAAATATCAGGAATTATAAAACCAATTGCTTCATATGGGGGCTTTGCCTTGAAAATCAAGTTATGGAACATATGATTTACTATGTCCCATAACGTGATTTTCAAGGCAAAGACCCCATATTATGTTTATAAATATTATTCTGCAAAAGCGCTTGTTGCAAGTATTACGTACAAGTGTCATTTCACTTAAATTGGAAAACGCAAAAGATCGCCATACTGACATCTTTATTAGTTAATATCGCTATGATCGAATCAAAAGCGCAGGTTCGTTTTTTTTCACATCCACCACGTGTTTCTGATTTTTGGTTTGTCCCTCTACGTTAGATCTTGGTTCTTCACAAACTGAAAAATATTAATACAATTAGGTTCGTCCTCTTCATTATTAAAAGAGAACCCTACATATTAATACAATTAGATTCGGTTTCTTCGTTATTAAAAGGGAACTCTACAGGAACATTAATGAACTCCACGTCTTTAATGTGCAAGGCTTATAAAAAATTTATTACTATATATTAAAAAACGCAGTTAATATTTATCTTTAACTGATGCTCGATGATTGATCGAATTAAAAACTCGATGAATTAAAGCTTATTTCGATGCTCTAAATTTTTTATCGTTGATCGAACAATTATTCACTGCTTCCGCCCCCATTTTAAATATACTACTCTAAATGCATTGTGTAAGAATTTAGTAAATGTGCATTTAGAGGCATCGGTATGCATTCCTGCATTTAGGGAGGTAAGCATTATATTAATTGGCCCAAATGATGATAGGGGGTTGCATTCAGACATATTTTTAATTTTTTTTTATTAACTGTTAACTACCGTAGTGCACTGACCAAAGTACCCGGTGTGATGCGATTTTTTACATAGTAAAAATTAAAATTCACGTGCATTATACAATTATTTACATCACATGCCACATATAAATAATATTTTAAAAATTGATCTACATTATTTGTCACGCCGGGTACTTTAGCCAGTGCACTACGATAATTATTTTTAAACTATTTTTTATAATCAGAAATTGAAGTATCCTGAAAAGTTTTTTAACAATTTAATTGCTTAATACCATTCTCTAAAATTTTGGCATAAAAACCAATTCAACATTCGGCATAAACTATGACAAATTCTATGAAGTTAAATGATTTCAACTCTTAATACAATTCGCTTACCAATAATTAGTGATGGAATTTTCCAAAACTGTGTTTCCTGCCAGTAACTACTGGTAGGTGTTAGCTAACGATAGGTATTATGCACATGATTAGTATCTAATAATTATGTTTATGATAATTTAAAAGCTACCTATTGGTAACTGCTGGCATTTACCTTTGCAGATTATTGCCATGGTATCTACCAGTACCTACCAGTGGATACCTACTAAGTAGCTACCAACTCACACCACTAACTATAATATTTCTTGACCATCTTTGGGTATTGTAAATATATATTGTCACGGTCAGGATCGGTTCTCCGAAGGAAGTTGGGTCTCAAAGACCAGTCGGGGTGATTATGCTGATAAGAATCAATTGAGGATCAATTGATACGAATGAGAAATGAGTAATTATGA